GACGCCGAACATGAAATGAAAGCATGAACTCAAAACATGATGCAGAACATGAACTGAGAACATGAATGCAGAACATGGGCTCTGAACATGTACTCTGAACATCAATGCAAAACATGAAATGAAAACATGAACTCAAAACATGGTGCAGAACATGAACTTGGAACATGAACGCAGAACATGGACTCCGAACATGGACCCACAACATGGTGCAGAACATGAACTCACAACATCAACACAGAACATGGACTCCAAACATCAAGGCAAAACATATAATGACAACGCGACCTCAAAACATGGTGCAGAACATGAAGTAAGAACATGAAGGCAGAACATGGACTCCGAGTATGAACGCAGAACATGCACTCTGAACATGGACGCAGAACATGGACGCCGAACATGTAATGAAAGCATGAACTCAAAACATGATGCAGAACATGAACTGAGAACATGAATGCAGAACATGGGCTCTGAACATGGACTCTGAACATGAATGCAAAACATGAAATGAAAACATGAACTCAAAACATGGTGCAGAACATGAACTTGGAACATGAACGCAGAACATGGACTCCGACCATGAGCGCAGAACATAGACTCCGAACATGGACCCACAACATGGTGCAGAACATGAACTCACAACATCAACGCAGAACATGGACTCCAAACATGAAGGCAAAACATATAATGACAACGTGACCTCAAAACATGGTGCAGAACATGAAGAACATGAAGGCAGAACATGGACTCCGAGCATGAACGCAGAACATGCACTCTGAACATGGACACAGAAGATGGACGCCGAAAATGTAATGAAAACATGAACTCAAAACATGATGCAGAACATAAAATGAGAACATGAATGCAGAACATGGGCTCTGAACATGGACTCTGAACATGAATGCAAAACATGCAATGAAAACATGAACTCACAACGTGGTGCAGAACATGAACACAGAACATGAACGCAGAACATGGACTCTGAAAATGAACGCAGAACATGGACTCCAAACATGGACTCCGAACATGAATGCAAAACATGTAATGACAATGTGACCTCAAAACATGGTGCAGAACATGAACGAGGAACATGAACGAAGAACATGGACTCCAAGCATGAAAGCAGAACATGGACTCCGAACATGAACGCAAAACATGTAATGACAGCATGACCTCAAAACATGGTGCAGAACATGAACTCAGAACATGGACTCCAAGCATGAACGCAGAACACGCACTCCGAACATGGACGCAGAACATGACCTCCGCACCTGTAATGAAAACATGAACTCACAACATGGTGCAGAACATGAACTCAGAACATGAATGCAGAACATGGACTCTCAACATGGACACAGAACATGGATGCAGAACATGGACGCCGAACATGTGATGAAAACATGCACTCAAAACATGATGCAGAACATGAACTGAGAACATGAATGCAGAACATGGGCTCTGAGCATGGACTCTGAACATGAATGCAAAACATGTAATGAAAACATGAACTCACAACGTGGTGCAGAGCATGAACACGGAACATCAACGCAGAACATGGACTCCGAGCATGAACGCAGAACATGGACTCCGACAATGAACGCAGAACATGGACTCCGAACATGGACTCCGAACGTGAATGCAAAACATGTAATGACAATGTGACCTCAAAACATGGTGCAAAACATGAACGAAGAACATGAACAAAGAACATGGACTCCGAGCATGGATGCAGAACATGGACTTTGAACATGGACGCAGAACATGGACGCAGAACATGGACTCCAAACATGAACGCAGAACATGGACGCAGAACATGGACTCTAAACATGAACGCAAAACATGTTATGACAGCATGACCTCAAAACATGGTGCAGAACATGAACTCTGAACATGAACATGGAACATGGACTCCAAGCATGAACGCAGAACATGCACTCCGACCATGGACGCAGAACATAAACTCCGAACATGTAATGAAAACATGAACTCACAACATAGTGCAGAACATGAACTCAGAACATGAATGCAGAACATGGGCTCTGAACATGGACTCCGAACATGAACGCAAAACATGTAATGAAAACATGAACTCACAACGTCGTGCAGAACATGAACGCAGAACATGAACGCAGAACATGAACGCAGAACATGGACTCCGAGCATGAGCGCAGAACATAGACTCCAAACATGGATGCAGAACATGGACTCCGAACATGTAAAGAAAACATGGACCCACAACATGGTGCAGAACACGAACTCACAACATCAAGGCAGAACATGGACTCCAAGGATGAACATAGAACATGGACTCCAAACATAGACTCCAAACATGGACTGCCAACATGGACTGCCAACATGGACTCCCAACATGGATGCCGAACATGGAATGAAAACATGAACTCACAACATGGTGCAGAACTTGGACTCCCAACATGGATGCTGAACATGTAATGAAAACATGAACTCACAACATGCTGCAGAACTTGGACTCGGAACATGAATGCAGAACATGGGCTCCTAGCATGGACTCCGAACATGAAGGCAAAACATGTAATGAAAACATGAACTCACAACACAGTGCAGAACATGGACTCCGAGCATGAACATGGACTCTGAACATGGACTCCGAACATGGACTCCAAACATAGACTTCCAACATGGAGTCCTGAAAATATTAACTCACCAGGTCAACTCAGAACATAAACAGAGAACAAGAATGCAGAACGTGATCTCAGAACTTGTACTCAGAGCGTGCACCCATAGCCAGATCTCAGAATATCAGCTCCAAACACGTACTTAGCACATGAACTCAGAGTATGAACTCAAAACATGGACTGGGAGTCTGAGCCGTGTGCTTTAACTAAGAGCCTCAGCCCAATCCCTTAAACAAGAGCCTAAGTTGTGATACTGAATTGCAACCTTTGACTAAGAACATAAACTGAGGCATACTGAGGGTCTTAAGTAACAACCTGAAATAAGTGCTTGAACTCAAAAAAGGAGCTGAAAGCCTCAACTAAGACTCTACACTTAGAACCTGGTATAAGAACCTGATTTAAAAGCATGGAACAAGAGCCTGAACCGAGAGCCTAAACCAAGTTAACCCCAGAAACTGCAAGCCGGCACTCTCGCATTCTATCGAATTCCTAAAATGCGCTAGAAACTAACCTAACAATCCAATGAAGAAGAATTGGAATTGTGCGAAATGCTTGCATAACTTTTTAATGAGGGAGTATTCTAAACGTGGGCAAAATACTAACCTAAAAATCAATCGAAATTGACCCGAAATGTGCGCGAGAATCTGACGTATCAATCCATCAAAAGAAAATTATTTCAAGAGTGCGAGATACTAGCCAAGTAATCCAACGAAAGAGAAGCTTAAAAATGCGCAAGATACTAACATAATAATGCAATGACAAAGAATTCTAGAAGTGCACAAGATGCTGAGGTGAAAATCCAATGTCTCAGAATCCCAACAGCGCATAAGACTCTAAATGAAAAGTAACTTTTGAGTGAGGGAATATCCTGAAAGTGTCCAAAAAACTAACCTAACAATCAATGAAACGATAATCCTGGAAGTGCGCGAGTAACTGACATATTAATCAAACAAAAGAAACTGCGCCAGGTACTTACATAGCAATTCACTGAAAAATATAATCCTTAAAGTGTGCTAAATACTAACGTAATTAGTTAATTAACGTAATTAGGCTCGTTGATCATGGGGCCTAGATAGAGTGCTCACATTTTTCAGAGCAACAACTCAGACCATTTGACATTTCCACATTGCAGACAAAATACCGCCAATCCATGGCTGTTTAAATCACCCTTTACCAAAGACCACACAATGTCTCCTGTCACCTATGGATGTAACCAAGGGGAAACAAAAATAAAGTTACTATTTTTGCTACTGTTTTTACATGTCTACCAAAAAATCAAAAACAACAATTACACTTCTACACAGGTTACTATGCTATTAGCTTTTGAGATGCAAAATACACCTTGAATGTCGTTGAGCCCTATCACCTCCAGACTGTTTAACATAAAACTTCTCCCTAAAACATCCCTACAGTCTTCACCAAACATGCGATCAGAATATTCGAACTTATCAGGTAGAAGCTGCTATCTTGATCTAGCATCAAGTTCTCATAACTAAATTAAAAGAAAATGTGTAGCAGCTTCAGGGGAGAATTAACAATCCAATCTTAGAAGTTAAGGGGCTAAATCAGTGCATAATATTTATAGTCCCAATAATCAATAGCTATTATTGTTTGTGTCGCAATATACTTATTCCCAAACATAATTGCAACATTTGCAATGCCCACTCACTTCCCCCTTCTATGACAGGTGCATTATTTATATAACTTGTTCAGACCACAAGCTTACTTGTCCAAAAAAGACGCTCAAAACTATAGAGTAAGAGGCTGGAGTTACATGGCAACGTTTGTAATGCATACTCGAGGCAAGAAAAATACCTCTTCAAACTCACTTTCCCCTACCTTGACAAGTGAACCATTTATTTAACTTGTTCAGCCCACAACCTCACTCGTCCAAAAAAGACGATCAAAACCACAGGGTAAGAGGCTGGACTTACATGGAAATTAATGGCTGTACTTTGCGTAACCAAATCATACACGTGCAAGGTACACAAAATGACACATTGTACTTTCTGCGACTGGTACATATTTACATTTACAAATAAGGAAAAGTGGTTGATGAAATGTCTCAACTGAAAATCATAATTCTTCGCCAACTTTTCTGTTCTCTGAGGGCACAAGTAATGTCAAATCTTTCATATCTGAATGCAGAAATTGCTGTGAGAGGCTGCATCTCCACAACAGATGTTATAAAACCCCTCCACCCATCACCCTTCCCCGGCCATCCGCAGGTCTTCCAGTATAAGGTGACCAGGAGCCTGTTGGCTTCAATTTACAATTGCCAATACTTACTGTCCAGAATTTGTCATTCTCTTCATAGTCCAAATCCTCCAATACAACAATTTCCACCCTCTATTCCAAAGGATTCTCAAGAGATCCAAGTCTGCCTGTCACAATTGCATTTGCTCCATCTGCAGTCTAAAGATAATTGACAGGGAGAGGAACTTGCACCATTGAAATTAACTTTTAACTCCTGGTAATGGTTGTACACTGCACCTGGTACTAACCGACCTTTTCATTTCACTACATAATGCACTTTTCATTTCTATCCTTTTTTTAACTTACAAAATTTTTGGCTACAATACCAAGTTGTTTTTTACTTTTTACTGGCAGTTCTTCAAGTTTTCTTAACATTAGAGTTTATTGCAGTTAAATAAACTCAGGGTATGGTTGAGGAGATGGAAGGGATACCTATTCAAAGGGGAAGAGAGTGCTGTTAACCTGATTTTCTAAAGGAAAGGGCACTCTTTTTAACCCTTAAAACTACTTTCAGAAAAGTAATTCAGGAGGAGTGCTTTTATGAAACCCTATCACAATGTGACCAGCAGATATTCTGCATCATTTTATAATGTTCTTTCTCTTGTCTACCAAATGGCCTTGCTGTCACTTACATCTTCATAAAAAAGGTCAGAATTCTTCTCCACATTGGAGGCCAAGAAGTTTGCAGGTGTCCCAACAAGAAGCAAATCACATCCCGTGGTGTTCAGGGGCACAAACTTCTCAGTTCATGTTCAAAATGCCACTTTCAGTGTCATGACAAGCCATTTCTTGCAACTCTGAACATGACCTCGGAACATAGCCTCAAAACATCACCTTGGCACATGACCTCAGGACATGACCTCACAACAAGACCTTGTACCATGACCTCGGACAATTACCGCTTTACATGACCATGGAACATGACCAGGGAACATGATAGCAGAGCATGACCTTTACCTATGGCCTCAGAACATGACTTTGGACTATCACCGCAGACCATTACTGGTGTACATGACCACGCAACATGACCATGGAACATGACAGTGAAGCATGACTTTGGACCATGGCCTGGGAACATGACCTCGCAACATGACCTCCGACCATGACCTCGCACCATTACCGCCATACGTGTCCAGGGAGCATGACCGTGGAACACAAAAGCAGATGATGACCTTGGACCATGGCCTTGGAACATCACCGTGGAATGTGAAAGCAGAGCATGACCTTGGACCATGGCCTTGGTACATGACCTTGGAACATGACCTCAGAACATGAACTCGCAACATCAACTAAAAGCCTGCACAGTGCACTTCAACTGAGAGCCTAAACGCAATTCCTCAAATATGAGCCCCAATTGCAGTTCTGAATTTAAGACCTGAAAGCTAGAAAAGCAAATTCAGTATCAATTTTTACCTGGATGTAAAATAAATAATAAATTCTTCAAAAAAGCTAGATGCACCAACCTCAGTTCCAGTCATCTCTGTAATCATCTCATCATCTTTAAACACTCTCATGTCAAAGTCTTCTGAGCCAACAAGGAACTGTGCAAATGAAACGTCAAATGATTGTAAAATTATCAAATGTAAGCTTAATCCTACACAAAACTTAGTCTCTATCAAGATAAAGACAAAGCTCGTTAATCATGGGGGCCTATATAGAGTGCCCACATTTTTAAGAGCCACAATTCAGACTATTTGACATTTTAACATTGCAAACAAAATACCTCTGCCAATCCACGGCTGTTTAAATCACTCATTACCAAAGAGCACACAATGTCTCTTGTCACCTATAGATGCAGCCAGTGGAACACAAGAATAAAGTTACTACTTTTGCCCCTGCTTTTACATGTCTACCAAAAAATCGAAAACAAAAATTACAATTCTACATGGGTTCCTATTCTATTAGCTTTTGAGATGAAAAATTAACCCTTAATATTGTTTGACCATTTGACTGCCAGTAGTGATTAACATAAAACTTCTCCCTAGAATATCCATATATTCTATAGCAAACAGGTGATCAGAATATTCAAACTTATCAGGTAGAAGGTCCTATCCTGATTGAGAACCACGTTCTCATAACTAATTTACAAGGAAATGTGTAGCAGCTACAGGGGAGAATTAACAATCAGATCTGGGTAGTCAAAGGGCTAAATCAGGGCATAATATTTATGGTCCCAATAATCAATAACTATTATGGTTTGCCTAAAAATTTGCTCAATTCCAAAAATAATGGCAACATTTCTGATTGATACTCAGAGCAAGAAATATACCTCTTCAAACTCACTCGCTCCTAGTCTACCTGTCACAATTACATTGCTCCATCAGAAATCTCGAAATAATTAATAGTATTATAGTTAATTGTACTTAAATAAACTCAGGGTATGGTCGAGGAGAGGGAAGGGTTCCTATCTGAGGGGAAGAGGGCGCTGTTAATCTGAGTATTGAATTAAAGGGCACACTTTTTTCTTTCAGAAACCTTAATCAGGAGGACTGCTTTTAGGAAGATGTATGGAAATGTGACTATGAGAAATTCTGCATAATTTTCGGATATTTTTCTTTCTTGTCGACAAAATGGCCACTGAGCCCTGAGGCAGTAAAGCACCTGTGATACATCTCAAGCAACTAAAGCAAGTTTCATAAGTAAAGCAGCTCAAGTAGGTGAGGGATCTCAAGAAAGTAAAAGCACATTTGGTAACCAGAGCTTCTTAAGTGAGGAGCTTTTTTGGTGTTTCACCGAGATGCTTTAAGAACTTGAAGCATCTAAGTGAAGCAGCTGAGGTAAGTAAAGCACATGAAATATTTGAAGCACCTCAGGACAGTAAATTACCTCACGTAAGTCATGCTCATGGTCATCATGGTCTGCTGCACTAGTAGGTGTAAAAGACATCACATTGTCCACCTAGTGCTCTCTGTCGCGTGCTGCTGTCTTGGCCACATTCCAGCTCTCCCACCCTCCCTTGTTTCCTCTCTTTCGACTGTCCTTCTCCAAGTGGTCTTTGGTCTTGAAGGGCCAACTCCCATAAAATCACCTTCAAACATCTTTGGCTCCAGCAACATTGAAAAAAACCCAATTATGGGTGTTCCTCCTGCAAAAACCTTTCCTTCAAAGGAAAAGTAGCATTTTGTTTGTTGCATGAACCCTTCTTAAGACCTACAGCTTAACCTTGTAGCTTAACTATCTGCACTGTAACTGTGCCCAGAGTCAGCCTTCTCTGATTAAGCGAGGGTTAAAGCTTCACAGGATAAATGCTATATCAAGACACCCAAAGAAGAAAGGCAGTGTACTGTCAGTCCAGTTCAGCCATTCTACAACAGTTTTGTTCAACTGACCCCCACCACCCTCAGTTTCTGACATTTGCGGGCACTACCAAATAGTAAACAAACATGTTCGAGCGCAATCAGATGACTGGATGCAAAAAAGATAGCAAGTTTTCTCACCTCTTGGTGAGTTATGGTGCAGAGAATAAACGAGAAAAGAAGCAAGAATCCATGAGTTTTGCATACTGATGTGAAGAACAGCTCACTTTGGTGCCATGACCAGGATCACTGTGGAAACTATATCGCCACTGAGAGAGTCAGAAGCCAAGCCATCAACCATGAGCGAAGGGAAGAAAGAGAGTAATGACCAGCATTATATTATAAAAGAGGCCAACAAGGAAATCAATAAGCTAAAGTGCTGCTTGGAGGATTATACTGAGATGGAAATCGTCAAGAAACGAGCTGAGAACACTATCGCAAAGCTGTCCGACCTTCCTTCCCTGGCCAAAGAGTTGAAAATTTATTGGGGAATGTCGATTTGACCTGTGAGCAAGTGGAAAAAAGATATCAAATCCAAGTGTGCTGCATTGGTTAGCAACAAGGAGAGGCTGAGAGGGTCTCTAGGTAATCGAGGCGAGGAAACTAGATGAGGGAGAGAAGATTTGAAGCAATGGGTGGAAGACGAGCACCATTTATGCCAGCTGAGTAAAAGACAAGAGGAGCACGAGTGCAAGTTGCGGAAGGGAAAACTCGCAGGAGAATTACGTGTAGTGGACAAGAAATTAGAGACGGAGAAAAACCCTGTTTCCAGCACTACAAAATGACCAAAATTGAAGATTACACAGTTGAGATTTGAAAACATGTTTCTTATGCAAGTTGAAGCCAAGTTGATTTCCATCAAAGAGAAATTGCTGTATCTTCTACATTCTGTTGGCCCGAAGGTCAGAGAGGGAATAGCATACCTAAAGCCTGAAACTGTTGGTTACAGGACTGTGTGGGATTGGCTATAAAAGGAACCTGGGCATACAAAGGTCATTGTCGATGAAAACATGGATAAAATCCTTATTTGTTCTCAGTCAAAGGATTGCATTACTTCAGGGTTCAAGAATTTTACAAGAGACTTAGTAGGAACTATGATGCACTTCAAACCCTGCAGGAAGCTCAAAAGTTACGAATTGTCTCGCGTCAAACCTGATCTAGTAAATGACAATTAGGAAGAATGGTCCATGGAAGATTTGATTGAAGCACCTGTTCGCACAGAAGCTAGGAGACAAGCAGAAGCCATATTGCCCTTTGTACCAAACACATGATCACTTAAGTGTGAACTGTACCATAGTAACTGCATTGGTGGACTCGAAGAAGTTCTTCATCTGTGTTTTGATTGCAGGTGTTCAAACCACAGAGCAGACCAATGCCTTATGCATGGTCCTGTATAGTGCAAATACAGGCATCATACCAGCATATGTGATAGACAGGAGGAGAGAAACAGCAGCAGCCCAAACACAGCATCACTGACAGGCTACACTTATTACTTGGAGGAGACAGTGCTTCCTACAACTGTTCCAGTCAGCATTGAAGGGCAAGTTCTTATGGGCACAACTTCATCTCACCCGAAACAGTCGAGTTGTTAAAGTTAAAGCAAATAGGTGACGAGATGCGCAAGATCTTTACAGTCAATGGAACCAAAGTCAGGTCCATCCCAATCTTTGATTCCCACATTAGGTCTCTGGATGGAAGATCTTCAGAACAAATTTAAATTCGCTGGCTCGAAGTTAGCTGATTTTGTTACTGTGAGAAGGCCAGACATGAACCAGCTGAAGTGGAAGTACTTGCATGTGCAGGACAAGAGCTTCTACATGGTATCTACACGAGAGCCCCAGATACATTTCATTCCTGGAGCTGGTGTTCACAGCAGAATAAAGACAGAGATTGTTTAAAGGGAAGCAGGAAAGCCGCTCTTAGAGGACACAACTTTCGCTTGGGTGGGTCATGGTAAAGATGAATATGCGAGTGGCAGGACCTGCATGTGCCTGAGAGAGGTGAGTGACTACGAGAAACTGTACAAGCTTGGATGTACTGGCAGTTGAGGAGCGAGCTGAAAATGATCAGTTGGACATTCTGTGTGACTTCAAAGAGAGTGTTGTGAGATGAGAGGACTGGAGGCACCAGGTCAGCTCCCCTTGCATTCCTGGAGTGACATTCTCAAAGACAAATAAGAAATGAAGCACAGTGTCTTCAGAATGTGAAGAGAAAATTTTTCTAGATATACGTATGTATAGACGTACCTTCCTGGAGGACCACTTCCTGAGAAGCTTCTTGCACACACACACACAATCAGGTCATGAATCTTGCCACTGCAACCACGATGGCAAGTGCGAGAGAGAGTTTGTGCGTACCAAAGTTGAGAGCTAAAGTCCAGATGGTCATTAAGAAGTGCAATGTCTGCAAAGTGCTCTCTACCAAACCAACCAGAGTACTGTCAACAAGTGCCTTTCCAGAATACAGAACGTAGCGCTGCAGACCATTTGAGGTGAACGCAGTAGAGTTTGCCAGACTGTTCAGTTACAAGCTTGGCGAGAAAGAAGAAGGAAAGTGGTATGTTATTATTTTCACCTGTGCCAGCTCCAGAGCAGTCCATTTAGAAATTGCAAGTACCCAAGGAGCAGACAAATTCAAGAACAAGCTTAATGCCTTCATCATGCATCAAACCAGACTTGCATCATCGTCATGGATAATACCAAAGTCTTTAAAGTCACAGCAGACTGAATCAAGATTGTTGGGAAAAGTGACAAGCTGCAGAATCACCTAGCACGTGAGAACATAAGTGGGAAGTTTTACCTCGCAAAGTCACCCTGGTGGGGAGGAATGTGTGAGAGACTGATCAAGGAGATCAAGAAAAAACTACACAAGACCTTACAGAGGTCACATCTTTCCTATGAAGTGTTTGAAGCAGTCCTCGTGGATGTTTAAAGAAATCTGACTAATTCCTCACCTCCCCCCCCATGTATGTTGAACAGGAGGGAGGAAGAAGAGCTTTCCCCAAACATGATCCTGTGGGGACGAAATGTGTATCCAGTGGACGACATTGAAGGCTTAGATGCAAAGAGGCTAACAAGGATGACCAAGCAACTAGAAGATGTTGAAGACCATGCATAGAAATGCTGGAGAAGGGAGTGCATGCACGGCCTAATGGAAAGCCACAGGCTTAACAAGGAGAGAGAAGGTATGCCTGAAGGTGGAGAGATTTTACTTGCCGTTGGACAAGAGAAGAACCGTGGGGAGTGGAAAAAGGGGGTAATGTTCTTGCACAAAGCACACAACATTGAGCAGCCACTCCAGCTAACTTGTCCCTTGGAAATAGGAGTGGCTGAAACTATTGTCCAGCCTCATGAGAGGAGGAGAGAAATTAACCTGAGAAGTCAAAGACCCACACCAAATGTGGCTCAAAGGGCTGCTCAGAGAATTGTCCAACAATTGCAAGCAGAACACATGTGAGCAAAATCAGACAAACCGACACAACAAAAAAGGCCAGTTGCCAGTAAGAGTTGTCTAGAGTTTATTGTCACTTATGAGTCCTCCTAGTGAATTATTGGGCGAATAAAGAAGAAAACAGAGCCTGCAAGTAGGAGAGTTACTTGCTCTTGATGAAGAGCCAACCACCGAAAACGCCCTGCCAAACATCCTTGGCACAAGCAACATCAAAGAACTCAGTTGCTGTTGTTCCTTCTCCAAAAACATTCCTCCAAAGGAAAAGTAGCAATTCATTGACAGCACAAGACAACTTTGAAGTTCACTTCCAGTAACAGAACTGCAATCAAAGTACCATGGACCCTCATTAAAATCAACATCTACATCTATTTCTCAAAGTAAGTCAGACACCTCAAGTAAGTAAACAATCTCAAGTAAGTAAGGCACATGAAGGAAAAAAAGACAGGAAAGAACCTCAAGCGGGAAAAGTTACTCAAGTGAGTAAAGCACAGGAAGAAAGGAAAACACCCCAAGTAAATAACGAACCTGAAGAAAATACACTTCCTGAAGCAAGTAAAGTACCATAAAAAAGTGAGGGATCTCAAGTAACAAAAGCATCTAGAATAAGTAAAGTACCTGAAGCGAGTAAAGTATCCAAAGTAGGTAAAGCATGTCTAGTAAGTCAAGTACCTCTAGTAATTGAAATATCTCAAGTAACTAAAGCAGCTCAAGTAGGTGAAGGATCTCAAGAAAGTAAAGCACATTCAGTAAGTACAGCACCTCAAGTAAGGTCCGTCAAGTACTTGAGGCATCTAAGTGAAGCAACCAAAGTAAAGCAGATGGAGTAAGTGAAGCATTGAAGTAACTTAAGTACTTTAAGTCAGCTATTGTCATCATCAGCATAAAGGCGTCAAATTGTCCACTTCACGCTCCCCCCATTATGTGCTTCTGCCTTGGCCACACTCCAGCTCTTCCACCCTGCCTTTTTTCTCACTCTCTTTCAACAGACCTTGTCCAAGTGTTCTTTGGTCTTCCTCTCCGCATTCGACCTTTTGGTTTCCACCCCAATGCCCTAAAACAGTCATTCACAACCTCCCTCCTGAGTTGATGTCCTAACCAGTTCCACCTTTTTCACACCTCCTAGCTAATTTCACCAACAAACAAACAAAGACTTTATCAGAGATTCAGAGATTCAATGTGTTGGCTGAAGGTCCGACCACTGTCCAGTATTACGCCAAGATCCTGTATGGAATTCTCAGCTGTGAGATCTTTTTCAAAGCATCCTCCCAGAACCAAAGACGCAGAACTTGGTTTTACTGGGATTAGCAAGTAACTTGTCAGTAAAGCACTGGGAAGCAACCCACACAAGATCTGATTTGAGGTCTGTAACTCCAGCTAATGTGTCTTTACTTGCAAAGGAGAGTTGGAGTCATCTACTTAGGATTCCACATTTCAGGTGCTTCAGACAGATTGCAAATCGTTTGTGTAGAGATCAAATAAGAGGGGTCCTCAAAATTGAACCCTGGGTGACACCATGACTGACCGTTAATGGGTTAGATCTGGAACTATTTATTTGCACAAACTGCTGTCTGTCTGTGTGGCAGCTTTCAAACCAGGATAGGGCCTATGAGGAAACATCGAGGGTATTGAGCTTGGCCAACAGGATCTTATGTTGAGTACTATCAAATGTTTTACTTAGGTCAAGCATAGAGATGCCAGTCACCTTTTTTTTCGTCAACTGCACTTAACAAGTGACTGGTAAAAAGGAGACCAAGTGTTTTAGTGGAATGATGCTGTTTATTGCCACTTTGGTGGATGGACATCCTGTTGTTTAAGGTCAAACAGCAGACAAACTGGTGGTGGACAACGAGTTCCCAGACCTCAGATAAGACTGGCAACAGTGACATCAGGTGGATGTTATTGGCTCTTCATGATCACCATGTTTAGGGTGAGACACCACCTTCGTTATTTTCCATTCCTTTGGAAAGCAACCAGGTGTGAGAAAGTAGTTAAATATCTCAGTAATTACATGCAGGATATGCGGCAGGATACCTTTGATAACATTAACACCAATTTTATCTTAACCAGGGACTTTATTGTTGGGCATTCCAGTGATGATGTCCCACACTGTGTTAGCTGAGATGCCTTGAAAGGTGAACCTAGGCCGTGCGTCATTCTCTGTCAATGGACAGAAGGGAGGTTCTTGAGATGTCAAGGGGCGAAGGGGTAAGCCATGGTTAAAAGCCAGCTGCTTTCCTTTGCTTGCAGCTGTTCCACCAACTGAAACAAAGTACCTGTTAAAAGAATTAGCAACCTCCAAAGGATCCTTTGAGTACTGCAGGTTGGAACTACCATGCGAGTTGAGACAACGAGGAACAATTTTGCATAGTAACGCTTTTGTGGACAAATTGCTGATAATTTCCTCTTGAACATGTTTTGCCTCAGTTGCGTAGAGGTTAGACTTCACATCTTCTTTCAGGATCCTACACATCTCCCAGTCAGTAAGATTCATTGTCATACCGGTATGCTTACAGCAGTCATCACATTTCAACATCAGCTCTCTACTTTCGGCACTAATAACATGTGATTTCTACCATTTGGCTTTAAATAATTTCATAGGTAGATGTTGGTGGAGAATCTCAACAAAAAACTTTAGATGACGACATGCTCACTGATGAGGTCCAAAATGCTGACAGTGCCCCAATGGGTCTCCAAGACGTCTTTCCAGAAGGCCTCAGTCTTAAAGTCCTTAACACTACAAGGCGTTATAGTGAAAACATATTTTGCACCCATTGCAGCCACTCCTCACCCCATGACTTCGGAACATGAATGGAAGGCCTGGACGGTGTGCTTGAACTGAGAGCCTGAACACAATGCCTCAAATGTGAGCCTCAATTGCAGTTCTCTATTTCAGATCTGAAAGCTTCAAAAGCAAATTCAGTATAAATTAATAGCTGGATGTAAAATAGCTTCCTCAAAAGAGCTAGATGCGCCTACCTCAGTTCCAGTTATCTCTTCAATCATCTCATCATCTTTAAACACTCTCATGTCAAAGTCTTCTGAACCAACAAGTCACTGTGCAAATCAAAGGTCAAATGATTGTAAAATTATCATATGCAAACTTAATCCTGCACAAAACTTAGAGTCTCTATCAAGATAAAGAGAAGGCTCATTAATCATGGGGCCATAGATAGAGTGCTCACATTTTTCAGAGCTACAAGTCAGACTATTTGACATTGCAAAGAAAATACCTTCGCCAATCCATGGCTGTTTAAGTCACCAATTACCAAAGAGCACAAAGGGGAAAAAAAATAAAGTTACTATTTTTGCTGCTGCTTCTACATGTCTACCGAAAAATGAAAAACAACAATTACACCTCTACACAGGTTACTATCCTTTAAGCTTTTGGGATGCAGAATACACCTTTAATATCATTAAACCCTTTAACTCCCAGAAGTGATTGACATAAAAAATTCTCCCTACAACATCCATACATTCTTCACCTAACATGAGATCAGAATATTCGAAGTTATCAGGTAGAAGCTGCTATCTTGATCTAGCACCAAGTTCTCATATCTAATTTTAAAAAGAAAATGTGTAGCAGCTGCAGGGGAGAATTAACAATCCAATCTTGGGAATTAAAGGGTTAAATCAACGCATCCTGTTTACGGTCCCAATAATCAATAACTATTCTGGTTTGTGTCACAATATGCTCACTCCCAAACATAATTGCAACATCTGCAATGCTTACTCACTTCCCCTACTTTCACAAGTGCATTAACCACAAGCTCACTTTTCCCCCAAAAAAGATCAAAACCACAGGGTAAGAGGCTGGACTTGCATGGAAATTCATGACTGTACTTTGCGTAGCCAAATCATACACGTGTAAGGTACACCAAATCACACACTTCTCTTTCTGTGACTGGTACTTATTTCCATTTATAAATAAGGAAAAGTGGTTCATTAAATGTCTCAACTCAAGATCATACTTCATTGCCCATTTTTCTGTCGTCTGAGGGCACGAGAATGTCATATCTTTCCTATCTGAAGGCACAAATTACTGAGAGAGGCTGTATCTCCACAACAGATGCAATAAAACCCCTCCCCCCATTACCCTTCCCTCACCACCCACAGGTCTTGCAGTATAAGGTGTCCAGTACCCTGTTGAATTCAATTTACAATTGCTAATACTTACTGTCCAGAATCTGTCATTCCCTTCATCATCCAAATCCTCGAATAGAACAATTTCCATCATCAATCCCAAAAGATTCTCCAAAGATCCAAGTCTACCTCTCACAATTGCATTTGCTCCATCAGCAATCTAATAATAATCAACAGGGAGAGCAACTTGCCCCATGGAAATTAAATTAGAACACCTGTAAATGTTTATACCACCACACCTAGTACTAACCGACCTTTTCATTTCACTACATACAGCAGTTTTCATTTCTATTCTTCTTTTTCCCCTTGAAAATTTTTGGCTACAATACCAAGTTCCTTTTTACATTTTACTAGCAGTCTTTCAGTCTTTTTTAATATTATAGTTCATTGCACATAAATAAACTCAAGGTATGGTTGAGGAGATAGAAGGAGTACCTATTCAAAGGGGAAGAGGGTGCTGTTAAGCTGATTTTCTAAAGGAAAGGGCACTCTTTCCAACCCTAAAAGTATTATCAGAAAACTTATTCAGGAGGAGTGCTTTTATGAGGACCTATGGCAAGGTGACAAGGAGAAATTCTGCATAATTTCCTAATGGTTTTTTTTTCTTGTCTACCAAATGGCAACCTAAACCCTTGGTCAGTATTGTTGCTCTGTCACTTACATCTTCATAAAGCAGGTTAGAATTCTTCCCCACATTGGAGGCCAAGAAGTTTGTGGGTGTCTCAGCAAGAAGTGTGTCACATCCAGCAGTGTTCCAGGGCCAGCAAAAAAAGCACAAACTTCTCAGTTGATGTTAAAAATGCCACTCTCAGTGTAATGACAAGCTATTTCTTGCAACTCTGAACATGACCTCAGAACATCACCTTGGGACATCAGCTAGGGACATGACCTGAGACAATGACCTTACACCATGACCACAGACCATTACTGCCATAAATGACCACACCACATGACCGTGGAACATGACACCAAAGGATGACTTTAGACCACGGCCTGGGAACATCACCTCAGAATGTGACCTCTGACCATGACCACGGACCATTACTGCCATACATCACCAGGGAACATGACCGTAGAACATGAAACTGGAACATGACCTCACACCATGCCCTTGCAACATGACCTCGGAACATGACCTGGTAACATGACCTCGTAACATCAACTGGAAGCCTGCAGGGTGTGCTTCAACTGAGAGCCTGAGTGCAATGCCTCAAATGTGAGCCCCTCTTGCAGTCCTCGATTTCAGACCTGAAAGCTTGAAAAGCAAATTCAGTATGAATTCATAAATGGATGTAGAATAGCTTCTTCAAAAGAGCTAGATGCGCCCACCTCAGTTCCAGTTATCTCTGCAATCATCTCATCATCTTTAAACACTCTCATGTCAAAGTCTTCTGAACCAACAAGTAACTGTGCAAATCAAAGGTCAAATGATTGTAAAATTATCAAATGTAAACCTAATCCTCCACAAAACTTACAGTCTCTATCAAGATAAGAGAAGGCTCGTTAATCATGGGGGCCTAGATAGAGTGCTCACATTTTTAAGAGCCACAATTCAGACTTGTTGACATTTTAACATTGCAAACAAAATACCTCTGCCAGTTCATGGCTGTTTAAATCACTTATTACCAAAGAGCACACATTCTCTGTTGTCACCTATGTATGCAACCAATGGGACACAAGAAGAAAGTTACTATTTTGCTACTGCTTCTACGTGTCTACCAAAAAATTAAAAACAACACTTACACTTCTACATCAGTTTCTATTCTAGTAGCTTTTAAGACACAAAATGAACTTTTAATATTCTTTAACCACTTGACTGGCAGAAGTGATTAACATGAGACTTCTCCCTACAATATCAATACATTCTTCAGCAAACAGGGGATCAGAATATTCAAACTTATCAGGTAAAAGCTGCTATCTTGATTTAGCACCATGTTCCCATCACTAATTTACAAGGGAATGTGAAGCAGCTACAAGGGAGAATTAAAAATCAGACCTTGGGAGTTACAGGGTTAAATCAGCGCACAATGTTTATGGTCCCGATAATCAATAACTATTGTAGTTTGTCTCACAATGTGCTCACTTTCAAAAATAATTAAAACATTTGTGTTGGGATACTACCAGCAAGAAAATACCTCTTCAAACTCAGTTGCCCCTACTTGCACAAGTGCATTATTTTATTTAAGTTGTTTGCACCACAAGCTGACTTGTCCAAAAAAGAAGACCAAAACCACAGGGTAAGAGGCTGGACGTGCATGGAAATTCATCACTGTACTGTGCGTAACCAGATCAATCACCTGCAAGGTACACAAAATGACACAATGTGCTTTCTGTGACTGGTACTTATTTCCATTTATAAATATGGAAAAGTGGTTGATTAAATGTCGCGCCTCAAAATCCTAGTTCATTGCCTACTTTTCTGTCCTCTGAGGGCACGAGTAAGGTCATATCTTTCCTATCTGAATGCAGAAATTACTGTGAGGGGCTGCTTCTCCACAAAAGATGTCATAAAATCCCTTCCCCCATCACCCTTCCCCCACCACCTGCAGGTCTTTCTGTATAAGGTGACCAGCAACCTGTTGGGTTCAATTTACAATTGCCAATACTTACTGTCCAGAATTTGTCATTTCCTTCATAGTCCAAATCCTCCAATTGAACAATTTCCACCCTCTATCCTAAAGGATTCCCAAAACATCCAAGTCTACCTTTCACAATTCCATTTGCTCCATCAGCAATCTAAAAATAATCAACAGGGAGAGCAACTCTCACCATGGAAATTAACTTTCAACACCTGCAAATGTTTATCCCTCCACACCTCGTACTAACTGACCTTTTCATTTTACTACATAATACAGTTTTCATTTCTATCCTTTTTTTCTCTAAAAAATGTTCAGCTACACTACCAAGTTGCTTTTTACTTTTTACAAGCAGTTGTCTAATTTGTTTAAATATTATAGTTCATTGCACTTAAATAAACTCAGGGTATGGTCGAGGAGATAGAAGGGGTACCTATTCAAGGGGAAGAGGGTGCTGTTAAGCCAATTTGTGAATGAAAGGGCAAACTTTTCAATCCTAAAAACTACTTACAGAAAGTGCTTTCACAAAGATATATGGCAATGTGACTAGGAGAAATTCTGCATAATTTCCTGATGTTTTTTTTCTTGTCTAACAAATGGCCACGTGAGCCCTAGGTCAGTATTATCGCTCTGTCACTTACATCTTTATAAAACAGGTCAGAATTCTTCTCCACATTGGAGGCCACGAAGTTTGCAGGTCTTCCAACAAGAAGTGTGTAAGATCCGGCCGTGTTGCACAGCCAGCCACAAAAACAGAAACTTTTTGGTTGACATTCAAAATGCCACTGTCAGTTTCATGACCAGTCATTTCTCGCAACTCACAACGTGCCCACAAAACACATCTTTGGAACGTGGCCTTGCAACATGACCTTTAGACATGACCTCACAACATGACCTCAGAACCATGACCACCATACATGACCGCGGAAGATGACTGTGGAAGATGACTGTGGAAGATGACAGTGGAGCATGACCTCAGACCGTGGCCTCGGACCATGACCTCAGACCATGACTTGGGAACATGACCTTGGGAACATGAACTCACAACATGAACTGAGAGCACAAGTGCAATGCCTCAAATGTTAGCCCCAATTGCAGTCCTCAATTTCAGATCTTAAAGCTTGAAAAGCAAATTCAGTATGAATAGCTGGATGTAAAATAGCTTACTCAAAAGAGCTAGATGTGCCCACCTCAGTTCCAGTCATCTCTGCAATCATCTCATCATCTTAAACACTCTCATGTCAGTCAAAGTCTTCTGAACCAACAAGTAACTGTGCAAATCAAAGGTCAAATGATTGTAAACTTATCAAATGTAAACTTAATCCTGCACAAAACTTACAGTCTCTATCAAGATAAACAGAAGGATTGTTAATCATAAGGGCCTAGATAGAGTGCTCACATTTTTAAGAGCCACAATTCAGACTATTTGACATTTCAACATTGCAAACAAAATACCCCTGCCAATCCATGCACGTTTAAATCACCCATTACCAAAGAGCACATAATGTCTCCTGTCGCCTACAGATGCAACTAATTGGGAACACAAGAATAAAGTTACTGTTCTTGCTACTGCTTTTACATGTCTACCAAAAAATCAAAAACAAGAATTACACTTCAACATGGGTTACTATTCTATTAGCTGATACCTCTTCAAACTCACTTGACCCTACTTGGAGGAGTGCATTATTTATTTAAGTTGTTTGGACCACAAGCTTGCTTGTCCAAAAAAAGACAATAAAAACTACAGGGTAAGAAGCTGGACTTGCATGAAAATTAATGGCTGTACTTTGTGTAACTCAATCAATCACGTGTAAGGTACACAAAATGACACACTGTACTTTCTGTGACTGGTACTTATTTCCATTATTAAATAAAGAAATGTCATTGATTAAATGCCTGGATTCAGAATCATAATTCAGTGCCCATTTTTCTGTTGTCTGGGGGCATCTTCACAACAGATGTCATAAATCCATTTTCCCCATCACCCCTCTGCCACCACCCACAGGTCTTGCTGTATAAGGTGACCAGCAACCAGTTGGATTCAATTTACAATACTTACTCCCCAGAATTTGTCATTCCCTTCATAGTCCTCAAAACACGGCCTCCAGATATCACCTCACAACATGACCTCGGACCTTGACTGCCGTACATGACCCTGGAACATGACTGTGGACCATGCCTTGGACCATGGCCTCAGACCATGACCTCGGAGCATGACCTCAGAGCATGACATGGGAACATGACCTCAGAACAACAACTCGCAACATGAACTGGAAGCCTTGACGGTGCACTTGAACTGAGAGCCTGAGTGCAATGCCTCAAAAGTGTCCTCAATTTCAGATCTGAAAGCTTGAAAAGCAAATTCAGTACAAATTAATAGTAAAATAGGTTCTTCAAAAGAGCTAGATTCGCCCACCTCAGTTCCAGTGATCTCTGCAATCATCTCATCATCTTTAAACACTCTCATGTCAAAGTCGTCTGAACCAACAAGCAAGTGTGCAAATCAAAGGTCAATGATTCTAAAATTATCAAATGTAAACTTAATCCTGCACAAAACCTACACTATTTATCAAGGAAAAGAGAAGGCTTGTTAATCATGGGGGCTAGATAGAGTGCCCACATTTTTAAGGGCCACAATTCAGAGTAGTTGACATTTCAACATTGCAAACAAAATACTTCTGCCAGTCCTTTTGTGACTGATTGCTGTAATTTGTAAAAGTACCAATACTTGTGGATCATCTGCACACTTCGCAAATGTTTCACATGCAGATAAGACGGAGGTAGTCACTTTTCCCTTTCAGAAAAAAAAACCTTTAACGTACTTCTTCAATTTACTTTTTTTGCAACTCTAATTTGAAAATATTTTTAAAACAAGACATGTAAGTAGTTAGAAGTACAAACCGAGTTTCCTCTCATAATTTAATTTCTTAAATGTCCCAATCACTGAATCTCCCAAAAAATATTAGTACTTTGTATTTTTGGTGCGAAATAAAAATCCTTCTTTATATACAAATGAGAAGTGCTAGTCTCACTTCAGCAATAACAGCTCTAAAGTTTACTTGTTGTTCTCCTCTTTCTGTCAGCTACCAAAAAATTGTTTTACACTTCGGACAGTGCATAACCATTTATGGACCAGAGTCCCAACGCACCTCTGTAATCGCATATAGTTGCTTCTGTCTCCTGTACAAATGTTCCTCCTTTATGAGACGCTCTCTCCTCTGTTAGCACCACTGCTTTAAGTTCACTGAAAACGACAGACTGAGGAATCGAGATGGCGGTTTTAGAACGTGTTGCTGAACGCTTGTTACGGTCAAGCTTTGTTGATCTAGGTACTGATACACTGTGATCATCTGTGTATCTCTAATACTTCCTAATGTGGTATCCTTCTGTTTTGAAATGAGGGTAAAAGATTTGTAATCGCATTCGAAATTGTGATTGGCTAGTGTTATTTCTCACCTTTGCCATGAACACAACTCAAGTAGGTTTCGAGTCTTTGTTTCTTCGACAACTTTCGGCCACAAATCGTGCACTTGTAGTACGATCGATTCTTTTCGATTATTTCTACATAGAGTGAGCTCACATTATTATTTAAATCACCATCAGAACATGGATCCAATATATCCATCGTCCAGTAGCAGAGAACCGGTCGGAGAAGTCAAAACAAATTTGTGGGCTTCTCTTGCAAGCCAGTGGATTCACTTTACTAGCCAATGACAAGTCCTAAAAGATCCACGTGATCGTGCCCGTGGTCGGAAACAAAGATACCATTTGCCGCTCATCTATGAATGTACTTTAATCGGTTGATCGCTCGTGTGTTAAGTTATGTCTTTTCACAGCTGTTTTGCCTATTATAACATTTCTAAAGAAACGTTTTATTGTTGTTCAACGGAAAACGAGAACAGCGTGAGTGTTGTAGACGAAAAGAAAGTTGTTGGCGCCCTCCAGTTAAAAGAAGGGACAACAGTTGACATATTGACTGGTACAAACAAGGGTCTAGTGGCCATTTGTAAAGCTACGATTTTGAAAGTTTGTGGTGAGTGAAAATTGCGATATTCGTTACGTGATCAAAATCTTGTCAAAGAATACATATAACGGCTTGAATTAAGCTTACATAACGCTCGGCGCAACCGAAACTAGAATAATTCTGAGAATCGAATCGGTCACTTGCATGCCGCAGTTTCTTCAGCCTATGCGTTACAATGAAATAAATCTATCAGTAAGGGTTCAAGATTACTTTAGTCACGTTTTGGAACATTTAAACAAACCTTATTACATAAAGAAGCCCCCCCTGGTAAAAACAAAATACTGTATTTAGCCCTTTTTTAGTAAAATCTATGGGAGAGATGTACTAACTCTAATATAAAAGTCATTCAATATAACAGAGATTTCCTAATCCCAGTGCACTTTGTTAAATTGAGATTCCAACGAATGCCCTTTTCCTTTTAGCTATCTAAGGCCTTGTCTGAGCTTTTAATATGTAATTATATATATATGTATAAATATGTTTTCTAACTTAGATGTCATGGAATCCACATACAAAATGGTCAAGCTTCTTATAGACAACCTCATTCAAGGCCAACAGGGAAAGCTGTCAGCCGAGGAAAAAAAGGGAAACAGCAGCTAAGTCTGCAGTTTAGGTCATAACTTCATTCTAATTTATTGTTACAGTTACAACAAGATTTTAATTAAAAAATCAATTACATTTAACTGTAATTAACCCCTTCACCTTCAAGAGTACCAGGTCAAAATTTGAGAAGAAATCTTTGAATTTCAATGTGCAGAATCAACAGAAACAAAGAGTAAAATATGAAAGTGCTGCTTGACAGCTTACATTGGAATGTTCACACAAAAGAGTTTTACCCAAATAAGTTACCAAGACATAAAATCAAGTCAAAGCCTATCTCTGGGAGTGAAGGGGTTAAATACCATTTGTATCATCATCCAAAATTAAATGATTCATTTTAAGACTATTTTTAGACAGATAGTATTTATTGCAATAAATATAATTTAAGATATTGTATGTTATGGAAAAGAATAAGCAGATTTTATTCACAATTTGTGTCTAACCAAATTTAATGATTGATTAGGACT